AGTGTCTGGTGACGAAAAACAATACTTCACTCTCGGGGAAGAGAACACAAATCTACGAGTAAACGAGAGGATAGATCGAGAGAGCATCTGCGGGCCCGTGTCGCCTTGTGTCCTTAGGTTGGAGGCAGTCGTGGAAAACCCTTTCAACATATTTCACGTGAGCGTTACCATCCAGGATATCAATGACAATGCGCCGCAGTTTGACAGAGAATTTGTTGCTATAGAAATGATCGAGTCCACGCCTCCTGGGGCCAGGTTCCCACTAGGCAGTGGCAGAGACCCTGACATTGGGGAGAACTCTTTACAAAACTACCAACTTACCCCCAACCCGCTCTTCTCCCTTGTAGTGAGGGAGACTGATGGGACGAAGCAGCCAGAATTAGTGTTGGAGAAAAGTTTAGATCGAGAAAACCAGAGAAACCACCTTCTGATACTGACAGCTGTGGATGGCGGGGATCCAGTCCGATCCGGGACCATCCAGATTAAGATTAACGTCACCGATGCAAATGACAATGCGCCAGTATTCACCAGAGAGGTCTACAAGGTTCGACTGCTGGAAAACCTGCAAGAGGGCTCCTTAGCTTTTCAGGTGAAAGCTACTGACTGTGACGAAGGTACAAATGCAGAAATTACCTACTCCTTCAGTGATATCACAAACAGTGCTCGCAAGCTCTTCACTCTGCACTCCAGGACAGGGGACGTGAAGGTCACAGGTCCCTTAGATTACGAAGAAGGGAAATATTATGAAATTACTATTGAAGGCAAAGACGGGGGAGGGCTGAGTGCTCACACGCAAGCACACATAGACGTTCTAGATGTGAACGACAATGTGCCAACCATTTCCCTCCTGCCAATCTTAAACCCGATACCAGAAGACTCTGTCCCGAGTACAGTTGTGGCTGTGATCAATGTCCGTGACAGAGACTCGGGGGATAACGGAGAAGTGAGCTGCAACATCGATGGTGATTTACCTTTCAGACTACAACCATCATCAGAAAGCACCTATAAACTAATAACAGCCAGCACCCTGGACAGAGAAAAAGTATCCGCCTACAATATCACCATCACGGCCAGGGACCGGGGCAGCCCGGCGCTGTCCAGCCGCACGGCGCTGGTGCTGGAGGTGTCGGACGTGAACGACAACGCGCCGGTGTTCGAGGAGGCGGCGTACAGCGCCTACGTGGCGGAGAACAACGCGGCGGGC